GTCTAAGACATCATGTCAGTTAATGCTTGAGCATCATGTTGAATGATGTACAAACATTATTCTACATATATCAAACATGATGTCTAGACATTATCCAACATGATGTCTGGATATCAACCTTTTGTCAAGGACGGCTTTCCATAAATTTCGGAACAAAATTATCTAAATTAGGAAGTGGTGAGATTTTGAAATCGTATTTGAAAATTTGAATTTTTGAAATTTTTGAATTGCAAAAGGGAAAGATTTATATTACACGAATTTATAAAAAAAGGAATCTTAGTGATACAAATAATATAAGTAACTAGTCACATGATTTTATCCAATAGCTAATTTTAAAAAATTAAAAAAAATCTTTGATTTTTTTTCGAAATTTACAACTATGTTTCAAAACTTTTGAATTCTTTTATATTAAAAATCTCATAAATTCTATTGTCTTTTAATTTTTATCGAAATACTTTTAAAAAAAATCGATTTACCCAACAATCTGTGTCCGAAGTCATGTGTAAATCTGGCTACCGTGTGACGGCTGTGACGCTAGGGTGTTAATTACATATCATGTATTTTTCCTAAATACTTCGTAATCTTCAATTTCGAAACTATAATTTTTAATAATTCCATTTTCTTATTCTTTAAGACCACAAACTTTATCAAATATTCGAAGGCCATCAAACTCACTTTTATCATGCGCAGAATCATATATTGCATTTTTTCCGTTCTTAACTCTACTTGGAATAGTCGATGATGGATTTAGAGTAGATTGAAATGAGATCATTCATGACGTGTACTAAATGCAATCGCACATGACACAGAAATTATGTTGCCATATTAATTCTTAGCGTTAATTTTAAATATTCGTTAATTTTATTACAGAAACGCTTATTAGTCCAAAAATGTAATGAACTTTGGACTATATTTCTATACATAAACCTGGTATTATTAAATACTATGTATGACTAAATATACAATATTTCTTACATCAAGAATTACTCTTTTACGTCTCAAGTAATATCTAATTGCCATAAGTTATAATTTATAGTGGCACAGCTTGACCCAATTTTGGGCGGTGCAGGAAAACGTGGCAAACGTACTCTTGTGCTTCTACACTTCGCTTTCAAAAATCTTAACGGGTTTTCTAGCTTATAACCGGTCATTTAACTTTGATCAAAGCGAATTAAGAAAATTTTGGCCAAAATACTAAATTTTAACCGGTTTAAACAAATATTTAACTGGTAATTGATTAACAGCCTTAACTAGCCCTAACTTTTAATTAATAATTAATGGCTTTCAAATAATAATGTAATCATAAATAAAAAAAATATGATTCAAAATTTGATAGTACGTGTTATTGAAAAAAATTTCTTATATAAATGACCAAATTTATTACATAAAAATCAAAATCAAAAAAAAATTTTTGGAATAATGCATTTAAAATATTTGTTATTGGTCATTGCCTTTTTTATCTTTACTGTTGAAACAGATGGTAATAAATAAATATACAGTTTTTTTACTTAGTTTCTTTTTTTTTTCTTTTTAACATTAATTTTGATTATCAAATTATTCAAATATTAAAATCTTTTATAAATAATGTAGGGGGTATTATTGTAGATGAACGAGAAGGTAATTATTTCAACAAGGGTTAAATGTCTTTACTTGTGAAAAATGTATAACATTATTTTTTCTTGTGCAGTAAATAAACGCTCCGCAGATCCACGTAAACATAAACCAGCATAGTGGTTACTACGGTCATGACTGATTTTGTACTGTACATTAAATTTTTTATAAATTTAAATACGTTTGAATTTATTTTTGAAGCAAATATTAAATTATCCTTTTCGAAATATAATAAAGCCCTAACATTTATATTTTGATTCAATATTATACAATTTGACCCTAATTATTTTGTTATTTAATGCGTTTTTAAAAATTATTTAATTATTATATATAAATACGAAATTATATCTATAAAAAAAATTTCTTACAGTGTTTTTGCTTTCATCAAAAATTCATTCTATAATATGGTAAACGTAAATTTGACTTATTTTAGGTTAATTATACGTTAATAATTTCAGATTTTTAAAATTTATTTTATGGAATTTAACCTATTTTATTTTTAATAATTTTCTTTGGTTTGGTATTTCTGATTTATTTTTTAACTTTAATTTTAGAATTTTTTTAGAATTTTAAAAAAATATATAGTATTATGTAAAATCCATTATCTATATACCGCACAATCTCTCGCTTTCATGAAAGAATATGAAAATGAGAATAAAGAAAGTGAAGAGGAGAAAAAGAAAATTATTCTCTTAATACTGTGACTTGAAATCGACTTAGTCAATCGTGCATTCAAATTAGCAATATCACTGTAATTACTGCGGTTATCATACTTTTTAATAAAAACATAAATGTTTTTTGACTTTATATTCCAAATTTTTCGAGTATGACGTCTTAGCACGTGCTTTGCATTTCATATGAGAAAGATAGCATATTCACGCCAAAGTAAAAATCAAGTTCTACTAAAATATATGTGAAATATTTACTCAATTATCTAAACGTGATAACAATGAATTCTAATTAAAATATAAAGTGAATTTCAGTTTGACTAGATTACTAGTATAGTTAATGTAATATTTGAGTTTTTACGATACTGATAATAAGCTTGTAAGGTAATTATTGTTCTTGAGATTTTCTGCATTATATCTTTATATAATTTACTAGGGGATATTAAGAAATGATAACAATGATAACATTAAAATGATAGAATAAAAAAAAAAATAAATAAATATAAATAGATCTCTTAAGTAATTATTTTAACAATTTGCCACTGATAAAAGAATAACATTATGAATTTTTATTATATTTAATTTTTAATTTTTTGAATATCACATTTTAATAAAAAGAATCCGATAGACGTAAAAAACTCCGGCTACGTGTTATATGGTACCACTGCTTCGAATTACTTCGAATTATCCAGCCCATTCTAAAAACCTTTCAAAAGCTGTATCTTCATTTTATATTTTTCTTGTCTTACTTTCCGTTTCAAAAATTAACATACGCCATAATTTCTTTCTTTACAAATAGCTCGGATTCCTCATCTAAAGTCTGTATATGAATCAAAGAATATAAAAAATCAATGATTTGGCTTATTAATTACTCTTTGATATTTAGTGCAAATAGTAATCAACATACCATTATCATTTCTTTGATTAAGTCTTCAGCTGGCTTTTTATTACTACATAAATGATCAATAACAAAAGAGAATAATTCATCTTCTTATACGCCGAGATATTCAACAATTTTTTTTACTTACAAATGGCTGTAACTTTTTGCTAAGAACATTCTGTTGTGAAATAATTATTATTTATGTTAATAAAAACAAAGATTTTTTAAAAAAAGGAAGAAATTTTTGAACCACATATGAAACTTACCTCATCTAATTCCTCCTATTTAACATTCCGTTGATATAGTTGCCACCAATTCTTTAACTAATTTTCTTTTTCCTTTCTTCGGTTTTGTTTTCATCGTCCTCATCATCACTATATTTCAAAGTCGACGTTTACGTTTGATTCATCGTCAAATTCCTCATCTTCAGCTAGAGCCATTAATGCCGCGCGACGTTTTGATGCAAGATTAAGAGAGTTAGTAGTTTTGGTTTAACGCTATTATTTTGTGAAGCACCAATTGTGGCAAGCGTTAAAATTTCCTTTTCATTATTTAATTCCGCTTCCATAGCTTCTCGAGTGTCTGTAATCGATGTTGCTCAAGCTCAATTTCTTGCTGTTCTCGCAACCTATGCCTCATCTATAGCCAATTCACGTGCTCTGAACTGTTGTCGATGGAACCACCAACGAAATCTACATAATTATAAAAAAAGTTAAAATTCATAATTTCTCCGTTAAATTGATTACAAGATGAAATGTAGAATAAACCTCCTGTATTTGTAATCTTGACCGCTATCAGCTTCAATGTCATCGCCTAAACTTTCTCGTCCATTATTTGCCGATCTCGAATTTGTTTTTCTCTAACATCTAAATCTCGTTCTGCTTCACGTTCACGATTTGTTGCCATTGTTTCTTCTCTATGTTGCCATCTTCTTTCTCTAATATAAGATAATTATTATTAAAATCAGTATATAAAATCCAAAAACAAAATATTAAATAATTTAATATACCCCTTTAAAAGCAATTTCCATTTCAGTTTTTCTTTTAGCTTGTCTGCGTTGTTCCTCTTCTTTATCTCTAAAATATAAGATTTGCGTCTTGATTCTCTTGCAGTAACAAAATTTACTGGTTGATGATAATGTCCATATTACTGATCTCGATCTCTATAGCGTTAGCGATCCCGCTCTCTCTCTCACACGTTCCTTCTCTCTATTTTCCCTTCCATGTGAACGTTCTCTTTCTTTTTCAGCTTTAGCTCTACGATTTGCTCGTTCTTCCTCTTCTCTCTAACGCTCTCGCAGCACGTTCTCGAAAGAATACTATTTCTCGGTAAATAACGAAGATCCTTTTGATCTGGAGGAAGATCAGCCGGTAAATCTGTGTCATCATCCTTTTCTCCATGTTCTGTTTATTTCTGTAGCTGGTGATGTTCGATGAGCTAGTTTATTTTCATGCTGTGAACTTATTGAAGGTTGTAGATCTCTTCTATCCTGTGGCTTAGTCATGTCTTCAACAACGTGATAACAAGGCATTTTATCTAACTCTGTATCATGCTGAAAGACAATAATTGACATCAATTATGATAGTAAAAAAAAAAGAAAGAAAAAAATTATTTCTATAGTTTAATACAGACCACCGTTCCCGGTCTTGAAGCCTCATATTGAGCAATATATCATTTTCTTGTAGTTTCATCGGCTTTAACCTATAATTGTGTGGATAAAATGGTATTTAGTAGATGAAAAATTAGGATCAAAAGTAAATCAAGAAGTTGATTACTTACTATTAACTTTTTTATCATCATCCGAACCTTCACCACCAAGTACACGCAAAACACGTAGTACACTGTCTATCAGCATCAGCATATTCCGCAAATTCAAAAACCTTTGGATTTCCGGATTGTTCTTTAACTCGTTTCGAAGATTTTAATGTACCACAAGTCTTTGCAATCGCCAGATAAGTAAATCAAAAAAAAAAACAAAAATAAATTGTCAGCTAAAGTATTTGATAAAATCATACCGGAAGATGTTCATGAGTGCGCCCAATAAGCGCATTAAAGCTTTCAAGACTAAGATAAATTCGAAAGCTATCTGAGAAAAAAAATTTTAGCATCCAAAATAATATGCGTTTTAGGTTGTAAGAAAATTATACAAAAGTTTTTTCTTAATCGCACCTCCAAATATTTACGCCTTCTTTTAAAGCTCCAGGGTTCATAAAAATCCAATTTGATAATATAGTGTTCATTAAAATCTTCATCCCTTCGATTGGAAAATCATCGTCAACTTGTTGACAAGTATCGATATATCATATATAGCATTCATTTGCCCACCATAAAATTAAATAATTGATCACTACCTTGAGAATTTTTTCCATCTAATCATCAGTTACTCCCGGTGATATCTCTCCAATGAAAAGAGTTGTCAATTTTGCCATTGGTGATATACCGCCCAAAGGTATACCATAACCTGGTCTAGATAAGCTGTGCGTTGTGTGGGAGTACCAGAAGTATAGCCACCCCGCGAGGTTTGTCCATTAAATTAGATTATATCAAATAATTAAATTAAGAGGTTGTTTAAATATTATCTATAATGGTATTAATTTTTTACTATCCTTAATTCTTATTATATAATTTTAGGTAAGAGGACCGCCTGGTGAAGTAAAAGGTGGTCGTTCGTAAGGTCGATATTGAGCTGTGAAATAACAGTAAGTAAAATGTTTTAAATATAAATTTTTTTTTTTTGAAAATTATTCTCGTATAAAATTATCTCTTCATCATCAGAATCTCTATTTTTATCCTTTGTTGTATAACTAACTCTTTTACGTTTATCCAATTACTGATACCTTGTGATTTCTCGAAATCTACTACTGCGTCACATCTCAGTTTCCATATTTTGTTGTAAACAAGCGTCATATTTATAGATCACTGATCATCAACAACCTTGTATCTTCAACCTTACAATGTTTGTACTTCCAAATTTTAAAATTAATTATTCCATGCGTAATCTCATATAATAAATTTTCCAACGGAAACAATCTTGATTTTAGCGTGATCAAATCATAATATTGCCTCCGTTCATCCCCATTTTCTATAAAGACGTTAACTGCTTCTTTCCATAGATCAAATAAAACACATGTTTCCACTTCTTCATTGCATCTTACACATTTATTTGATGAAACCTCATAAACTCTCCTTTGATACAAAACATCGTAAGTTGGTCGATTGAATGAAATTTTTAATTCTAAAAGCTCTAGTTTGAGGATCCATCGCACTAGTTGATGAATTTATTACTTTAATTTCGTTACGAATTAGCATTAACGAAATTGGCCAATTAATATCGAAACTTATGTTAATAACAATTAATTGTTCTAATTGCTTTAATAGCATCATTTCTGCCTTCAGTTATTGTTAAGATAACTAACGAAGATCTTTGGCCCATTTTCTATAGTAACCTTCAATTATAAAATTATTCCAACGCAGATTATAATATATTACTCCAGATAATTCCAATGTCTAACATCGAAGATGCATTGTTCATAAGTTCCTTTTTCACTCCTTCAATTTTCACATTAAAATCTGATATATCTTAGAATTCATCATGACTCCAAATAACTTGTAATTTTTTTCCGATATTATTTGATATAAAAACTTTAATAAAGTATAGTTTTGTAATCTATTTCTCCTATTACTTGTCTCATTCTTAAATTTTTCTAATTCTATAATAAATTTTTTATTATTAATTTCGATGTTGACGTACTTATAGCAATAATCCTATAGTGATAATTAATGTGATTAAAATTCTTTTCATTTCGTTAACATTAATACTAAATTTTAAATTTGTATTAAAAATTTTCTTATATATCGTCGTAATTCTAAATTCAACGTTCCCCATTGTTTGTCTGTTTCCTTCTATATTGTTATTATATTTAAATATGTTTAAATATAATATAAATGAAGAAAACAGGACGGGAACTCTACCATAATGTCCCATTGAGTTATATTTTTAAATCTTTATATAAGATTTCTGTTGAGTAACGTAGTACAAGTTTTAATTAGTCCATATTATTAATAATCACGTGATTAAATGTAACTTCAAAAGTTTACTTTTTTTTTGTGTCCGTACAACATATTTAAACATGGTTAGCATTTAGTAAATATATAAGAATCGATAATTTGTGAAAATCATATCATTAAAATTGATTCATCCGCAAATTTAATAATTTGACGTGCTTTCTCATCTATTTTAAAAGAATAGGGAATAAACTAAATTTCATAATGAAATATTTAATATAATTTCCTTGTATCATTTCTTCAATTACTGGCGTGGGGTTTTCGAATTTTTCTTCTCTCATTTTTTTATTCCAAACTGAAAAAATAGTCCCTAAAAGAGATAGAAATTGCATCAAAATTGTATGTCTTTTTTTAAAAGTAAAATATGATAAAATAAGAATACTTCACATACCATTTAACTTTGGATTATAAATACATTTAAAATATGATGACATCAATTGGTGACCACCAATGATCAGGAACTTCAATTTCCTGATAGAGAGTATTAAATACTGTAAATAAATTTAATATCCTAAAACAAAAGAAATTGTCTAAGCAAAGAAAATAAATTTTTTTAAATTAAATTTAAAATTTGCGTTTTACGCACTCCAGCTTTAGTGGCACTGTAAACACCAAAAGTAAACACCGGACGTATTGCAGTGATTGAAGCCGTGTTAATTATACTAATACCACCTTGCGGATTATTTTGTTTTAAATACTATGATTGGAATGCAAGTTTCGTTCCTATAATAAAAGAAATCGTTATAATTATCTAATTGTTTCAGGGATAAATAATTGAATTTTTTTACCGTAAATTACACCAATAAGATTGATTTCTATAAGTTTTCTAAAGTGTGTTGGTTCTTTTAGTGAATCTTTCAACATTCCATTTTCAATATCCGTAATAGCAGCATTATTAATTACGATTTTAAAATAAAGTAGATAAAGTTAAATTCATTAAAAACTTTTTTTATTCACAATAAATAAAGATTTCTTATAAATCAGCATAAACTTACATCAATTTGTCCAAATGTTTGTTTAGTTTTATCAAATAAGCTTATTAGTTCATTCCACTTGCTTACATCCGTCGGTTTTATGAAAAATCGCAATCATTTCTGACTTACTAATAAAAAAAAAGATATTATTAATTACTGATAAATAGATATGATATTACTTTTTTTTCTTACTTTACGTTAAATTCTTTGGCAATTTTCTCGCTGGCATCTTCATTAACATCAGCGATAACATTTTCCTCTAAAAATAAGTTTCATGATTTATATTTATAATTTTGTAGAATCGAAATTTATAATAAAAGTAAGCATATTACATTTACCCTTCATCGCTCGACTAAACGTGTCGCAATTGCTAAATAGTTTATCAGATAGATATATAACAAGATAAAAAAAATAAAAAAAAAAAGGATTATGAATCTCATCATGTTTTTATAAAGAATACATACGACCAATTCCCGAGGACTTACCTGAATTAACCAAACTTCTTAATAAATTTAAAAATGTTATGAAAATTATATAGGGATCACAATTTTGGAATAAATTAAATAAATTACCAGTAAATAATAGCAACTTTCAGTTTCCTTTGACTTGTTGAGTAGTCATTACGAAAAAAAATAGGAAAAAAAAATATTATCGCAATGATATAATTCCGATGTTTGTTTATTTGTTCCTTTTAAAGTTCGCAGGTTCATGCACAAAAAAATTACAAAATTGGGCAAGATTTTGTTTTATGATACTTGAATTGTGCACCCTCAAAACGCGCATTAATGAAATAATAAATTGTAAAATTTTGTTTACAATGTATTTTACATTTTTAAACACTATATTATACATTTTTATATATTGTATTGTACGATTTTAAGTATTATATTACATATTTTGATCGGATACCATACATTGTATTTTTAAGTACATTGTATTAAAACATTAAACTATACGAAATTCTCTTTTCCACTACGTCGATTTTACTATTTTTAGTAGACGACAAAATTTGATGAACATTCTTAACGTCCTTATGTGTCTTATTTCCTATTACACTTATTACTAAAAAAGTTTAAAAAAATTTTAATACATGCTCGGGAACTTTTGTACATAAAAGATGCTTAATATTCAGTAAATTATATTTATTATATGTACATCTAATTTTTAAGTATTATCTTGAAAATAAAGTTTGAAAAAATTATATTTTAAATATCAATTATGAAAATTATACTGTATCAGATATAATATAAAGTTCTTATTGGAGATGCAGACAAAAATAAATCAAGCTTCTTAGATCCCCATAACCGTATTTAATATTACTAGGTATTATAAATATTGATAAAAATATGAATATATTTTTGTGTCTAGAATTAAAAATTGGATGGAAAAAAATATATCTTCGCAAGTCAATATATACATTTCGTACTATCTCAAATAGATTCTATCACTCGAGGCTCTCTCATATCGCCGTGATTTTATCATCTAAGCAAGAAGTTATCAAGAAATTTCTCACAATCAGAGTAATACAAATATAGTAAGTAACTAGTCACAAGATTTTATTCAATAATAAATTTTTAAATAAAAAAAAAATCTGATTACTAGTATATTTCATTTTACTACTATATAATTATAATATTGTAAATAATTGTTGAACTATATTTTCTAACCTTTTTTTTCTCTGAGGAATATTAATAGATTCGTGACATAACCTTTCCATGCTATATATGAGATTTATGCAACAAAATATAATAGAAATCGACAACGTATTATGGAATGATTTTAACCTAATATTGAAATGCCTTACCTTATACTTTATAATTTTGGTAATTCGCGAGAGATGGGAAGATTTTCATTAGATCGCGTAACACAAAAAATATTGGCGGTACGACGGTACGTCGGTACGTCGGTACGTTATAATTATTTTAAAGGAAAAAATTAAATAAATAGATCATCCAACTGAATAAAATTATAATTTCTTCACTAAGATCACAACGAATAAAAGACACAACGCTAGAATCACACAACAACTACAGTACATTAACCAAAGTATTCTGGGAAGCAGTAAAATGGTATTTTAAGACACTACATTACATATTTATATGAAAATACTCATATAAAGTTTATCTATTTATTATTATGTCGTATTATGGGATTTTTTTATAAAATTTATCTTAGACGCTATTTAAGTGAAATTTATATAAGAAACTATACTTGGGGTGAACAAATCTAAGATTCTTTATCAACTTAGATTATCTACCCTGCATAAAACTTTTTTAAATTTTTATAAAAACAATAAAAGACGAACGTGTCAACTTTTCAATAGTCGCAAAGAAACTTGAGATTTTGTGTCGTTGATCTCGTATTACATGACTTTTTGATAATTGAAACTAAAGACGTATGCTGGGTATAAATCATTTAAAGTATTGAAACCGATCATTGTTTTTTTGGATTTAACATAGTTTCTCTAGTTAAACTCCATCATATCCTATATCCTGCATATTATCAATAATAATAATAATATTTGAGATAATATTTATATAATCCTTAATTAAAATATATTTGACTATGTTACAGAATACACTTTGAAAAATTCATCACCAATTCTTTTAAATCTATCAAATGTTATATACATGTTATTCATTACAACTTTTTATATGAATTTACAGTATACTGACAGTATTAAATTTTAATAAACAGACGCTGTCAGCGTTATTGGTGACTATATTTCACGTCATTTTTTAGTGGTCAGAAACACTATTGCTTTTCTATAATTTTAAATATTTTAATGATATTCGGAATTTTTTTCGGTCACAATCGCGTGAAGATTGATATTCCGTCGGAATAGATCTAAAGCACTTTTCACTATATGTAATATCATTAATTACCGCTCCCTTATTATTTATAACTATAAAATTCGTAGTAATCTCCCGTTTGGAAAAAGTGAAATCTTTAATATTTGAATAAGTTAAAGGGATATGATGACTTTTCTTTGTTCTATGATGATTACATTTAATTTTAATACTAAAGTATTTATAATATTAGAAATATTTAAGTGAAGATGCTACTTTATTACTACTGTATTACGCCTACAGTATATAACTGAATTCAATATAAAGAACGGTCAAATTTCCAATTTCATTTCAGATTCTTTAAAAATTACATTATCGTTAACATTAACTGTTAAGTATATTCATATTATAATGGTATGATAGTTAACTCAAATATTAAAAAACATTTTAAAGCTTCTTATCGCGTTTACCTAGTTTGAACCGACGGAATGTTTCTAGAAAAAAATCTTTAAATGTCTCGAATCTCGAGAACAGTGCGAGAACCTATATAATATTAATTCGTAATCCGCCTGATAAGCGGTTATCGACATATAGTATATACATTTTAAACGTTTTTCAGAATCCTTCTAATCTTACTTATTAAACTTCTTCTAAAGTAATACTAAAGCAATGTCAAAGCAAAAAGAATACTCAGTTTCACTTATTTCTGCAGGAGAATTTATAGACAACTTGCATTATGGACCACTCAAATCCAAGAACACATACAATCCGATTTTCATACCGAATTGGAAGAGTTGAAAGGGTATTTGTTGTATTATTTAGTTTTTGTGTAGGCTATTATATTTTTGATCTGATTTCTACTTGGATATTTTTTTTTATAGGTTTGATTTCGACTTTTGATTTATTTCTTATAGGTAGTACGTTTTAGGATTTTATTTTGCTGACATCTTTTCGGTTCAGAATTTCTTTTCTTGTAGGTTTCTTTCTTTCGAATTTTTTTTTTATTGTGTAGAATTCTTCATTCTGCTCGGACTTGATTTTTTTTCTTTTTTTTTTTTGTAGGTAGCCTCGGTCCTTGGATTTTTCTTTTGTAGGTTCCTTCGATTCGAGCCTTTGAACCTTTCTTCTTGGTCCCGAGGGCTCGATGGTAAAGTATACAATTCAATCATAAGCCAGGTGTAGGCTCGACTCCTGCTTGGAGAACTTTGATCGTTTGTTGCTCTGACTTTAATTAGAACTTGGGCTTTGGGTTTTCTTTTGTAGTACTTCGATTCGAACTTGGGCTTTGGATTTTCTTTAAATTTTTTTTTTTATTTTAACGAAACGTTAACTAACGTTTCATTTTCTTTCTTTTTTTTCTAGACGGTCAGGCAGAACGCGAAGAGTTCGGTAGGGGTTTCGGCAAACTTTTATTACTTTTATTAAATCTTGCAATGAAACATTTTTAACATTTCGTTTTTTGTCTTGTAGGTAGTAGGTACTCCAATTTTTTTTCGGTTTCAATTTATGGACAGAATAGATGATTTTCGATCGAAATGAAACTCTATTTGATTTTGTTATTAACATTTCACAATTTTTTTGTAGATTATTTGGCTGGTAAATGAAACTCAATATTAAAATTTTTTTGTAGATCTTTCGGCTTAGTTTTTGTTTAGACGGATTCGAATTTTGGAAATTATAGGTTTTGAAGTGAAGTCTTCGAAACTTTTTACTAACGTTTCTTTTTTTTTAAGTCTTGGTGTCGATCTAGGGGTTTGAGTTCGGTAAGAACGTTGTGAAACAATTTTTTGGGGTTTTTTTTTGACATTAGAAACATTTTTTAACGTTTCTTTTCTTTTCATGGACACTAGCCTAGCCTTAGAAATGACCTGCTGGTAAGTCCATTGGGAAGGGTTTTTTTGACATTGGCTTGAAGAAACGTACTAACGTTTCTTTTTTCTTTATTTTTTTCCTTCACCGTTCTCAACCTTCTCTCTCGCTCTTCCCACCTTACCCTTCTCACCTTTCCTCTCACTCTTCTTTCTCTCTTTCTCTTTACCCCTTCCTCTCTCTCTCTTTTTTTCCCCGACCTTTCTTCTCTTACTTTTGTAGGGCGGAATTTCTTCATAAGTTTATTTATTATTATTAATTTTGGTTTTTTAATTTTTTTTTTATTTATCTTTCATTTTGTACAGTTATCGACAGATTTGTACTTCCTAGATCGTATTGGTAGGTTTTGTAGCGTTTCACTTCGAAACTTTTTTAAAGTTTTTTTTTTATATTACTATTCAGTTTAATTTTTTTTATTAATTTGTTTTTAACATTTTTGTAGGTTTCTTCTTCATTGAACTTACTAGATCTTGTATGATAAGTAAGTTAAGAAACGGTTCGGGTTGAAACTTTTTTTCAAAGTTTTTTTTTTAACACCTCTTTTCTATTTTGTAGATATATTTTTCATTTTTAGGTCGGACTTGAACGAATTTGACTCGGAAATTTTTTATAGATTTTGAGTAGATTTTTCTTTGGGAGGTATGAATTTTGGGAAGAATCTTTAAGAAACATTTCATTAATGTTTCTTTTTATTTTTAGGTTTCGGCATCTTTTGGAACGGATGATGATATTTTTATATCAAAGACGATTTTTAACGTGCGTGTGGACCGAATTTTGATTATATTAGATAGTTGCTATAAACATGCAGATATTTAAAGTGTTTAATAAATTCAGATTTGTAACTAATATTAAAGTCAAATTAATAAATACTGAAACTAAATTTGGGTCGTCTTTAGACCATAATTTGACATAAAGTTTTGTGTCGAATATATTACTAATATTAGGTTGAATAAAAGAACGAATAATGACCAAATAATTAGTTTGAATATCAGTCATTATAAATTTTTTAAAAAAATTAAAAAATTGTTGTGATTCCAACTAATTTACTGCCACCACATCACGCGAAGCTTCAGATTTTAGAAAAGTTGAAAGTTTGAATTTGTGGAATAATGAAAAAAAAGCAATTAATATAAATATTTCATAACTGAAACTAACTTTTTATTAATTGGATAATTGCTATTGATGCTAATGTTGATCCAAAATTCTTTCAAGAAACTATTTTTTTTTTATTCAATTTACAATGATTGGATGCACATTCGTTGTAATAAGTCACGTGATCAAACAACACATGACTATTCGATTAAAAAATTTTTTTGTTTAAATATTACCTACAAAAAAATACAAATAAAAAAAAGTTAAAACCGTTTTTAATAAAGAAAAAAAATAAAAAAATAAAAATAAAATTTTCGAAGTTTTTATTATATTAAAGAAATAGATCATTATACCTTCATGTCTAAGGGATTTGAGGGACCGACCACCTAAAAAAAAAGGAAACGTTAATGATCATTTCGTTAAAAAAAGATGAATTTTTTTTTTTAAAAAAAACCTGATATCTACCTTGAGATCCATTGTTAACGCAACTACGCGACTTTCTAATGATTACATTGTTAACATACAATAAAATCATGTGGTTATACGACCTTTTATTGTCTCTTTAGTAAATAATTAGATTAGATTTGCTTTTTTGTTACTTTATTTCTATAACTTGTCATTATATTAAAAATTTTAAAAAATAAATTTTTACATGAATAATATACAATTTGCAAGATATTTTGATAATAAAATTTTATTTTTATTTTTTCTTTTTCTTTTTATTTTTTTGATTAACATTTGATTTTCTTTTTTTTTGATTATTATTATTGTTGTTATTTATATGAATAAAAGATTCAGGAAATAAATCATTATGTGTGAAAAATACTAATGAATGCCTAACACCAGAACATGGAAGATTTCCATGTACTAATAAATTAGACCTAAATGCTAAAATATTTCCAGGTTTTAATTTTATACGTATATTAAGTTGTGGAAATATTAAATCACCACCTTTCCATTCACCTAATGGTACAAGCCAACAAAAACCATATTTATCATCATCACGATCTATATGACATCCACAGATAGTATTGAAATTTACAGCACACATTCCGAATACCTTAAATAATTTTTTAACCTAGGAATTTATAATAAACCAAAAATTAAGTATTTAATTTATGAAAATAATGATATTTTTTAATTATTTACCTGCGGTGGAAAGCAAAGATTACTTAAATTTCTATACATTGATGGATAATAAAATTCCATTATATTTGCGATATAATCTGCCACCTCATTAATTTCATATAGCATTTTGTCAACGCAACTATTAAATATTATAAAATAGTAATGTTTAAAATGCCAAATTATTATAAAAAAAATCAAATAAAAATGAATAAAAACATACCAAGAATGATTAAAATATTCATCATTCTTAACTTTACACATATAATCCTGGGATTGGTATACAAATTTATTATTGCTTTGAAAAATCCCAAAGTGCTGTGTAAAGGGTTGTGTTCCTGAATCTGATAGAACTTTTGATTAGTTTAATTAATTTAACGAAATAAAACATAAGTAATAATCATGTATTTTACCTTGAGATTCGTAATTAAAACCTTTAAATTTTGGTGGAGCATGGTTGAAATCATTGTGAATATGAGTCCAATATGTTTGAACAGCATGATCTGCATTTACAATCAGCTGCTCTTTTTCTTTTGGAACTTCAAATAGACGAAATAAAGTTGCTTTGTTCTCATCTATACAATGATAATTACCTAAATAGTATGATGGTTAATTTAATATAACAAATTCAAATACAAATTTAATTAATATATATACCTTCAATTGTTTTAAAATTAGATAAATCATAATGCATAGAAATAGAATCCACCGTTTTAAGATCTTTATTTTTTTCTCCAATCTGATTTATAACAACTGGTGGATATTCTTTTAAATCCAAATTGATATCATTTGGATTGTTTTCTTTATATTCTTTATATTCTTTATATAACAGGTTATGCATACCCAGTAAATAGTTTTCGTATAAATTTATACAATATATCATTATTTTGTATTAAATTTATGCCGATCCAAATCACATTAATAAAATGATTTTACTAAATCGCGTTAAATTTGTACTAAAATCGATATTTAAAAATGAAATCATACCAAATTTATAATACATATTTATTTAAAATATTTTCAAAAATAAATTCCATATAAATTTACATATATTTCAATTATATATTCCGTATAAAATCATTTGACCATAATTTATACAAATTTTGTATAAAATTTGTATTACTCCTTCTCTGCACTTAAGAAACTTCCTTGTTCTTTTTTACATGATTGACATTTACATTTTACTTTTATTTTTATTTTTATTTTTACATTATTTAAAATTTTTACATTATTCATATTAATTTAAAAATATAAAAAAAAAAATTTCGGGCCCCCCATTTATATATAAAATTATGTATCACGTATCACGTGATATTACATTAATAATTACCGCAGCTTCAGCTGCGGTATAGCGAAAAAAAAAATTAAGCTTTTTTGGCAAAGCTTAATTTTTTTTCTCTCTTTCACCTTTTGCTTCCCCTCTCTTTCCTTTCGCCTCCCCTCTCTTTCACCCTTTCCCCTTCCCTCACTCCTATCCCTTCTTCCTCTTTTTTCCACCCCTTCCCCTTCCCTTCTTTCAGAAAATAAAATGGTAAGTTTTGAAGCATTCACTTCAAAACTTTTATTTTTTAAAAAAATTAACTTTTTAGGAAACATTTACTAACGTTTCCTTTGTTTTTTTTTTGTAGTGGAAGCTAGTTTGGGAGCTTGAAATGGTGAGTTTAACTTAAATTATATATTTTTTTATTAGAAACGTTCTAACTGAACATTTCTTTCTTTTTTGTAGGTTTGGTTTCTGGGAATTTAGAAATTCAGAAAACAGTAAGTTTTGTACATTTCACTACAAAACTTCCATTTTTTCTTTTTCTTTTCTTTAAGAAACGTTCTAACTGAACGTTTCCTTTCTTTTTTGTAGGTCTTTTTAGGCGGTTCTCTTGGTCTCCTTAAACACGAATTTGGTAAAGTATTCAATTTTTTTTTACTATTTTTGTTTTAACGAAAAATTTCTAACAGTTCGTTATTTCTTTTATCTAGGCGGTTTTCTTTCTGGTGGGTAATTTTTTTTCATTAATTAATTTAATGAACTCTATTAATGGTTCATTTTTATCTTAGATTTTGCCGATTCTTATCTTTCTTTTTTAGGTATTGCCGATTTTCTGGGTGAGTGTGCAATTTTATTTTCATTTTATCTATTTGTCTTCACTACTAACAATCAATCTTTCTTCTTTAGGTTTCATTATTTCTTTTTTTATATTTCAATGTCTCTTTTATGGAAATAAAGGTGGGTTTTTTATTGTTCGTTTTTTTTTTTTTTGTCATCTTTGATACTAAACTATTAAACTTTCTTTTTTTAGATTTGTCTTCGTTCCACCCTTCAAATGCATGGGATTTTGGTAAGAAATCGGACAATATTTTTGTTTCTATATATTTCTTTAATGAAACATATACTAACGTTTCAGTTTTTTCTTCTTTTAGAAGACCAAGTCTTTGAACGCGTAAAAACTCGGTAGGGTGGAGGGATTTTTTTTGAACTATTCTTTGAGAAACATTTATTAACGTTTCTTTCTCCTTTTTTAGGTAACCTATTCTTTGAACTTCCGAATGTGGATTTTGGTGGGCATTTTTTTCTTAACTATTTATTTTAATGAAACGTTTTCTAACGTTTCAATTTTTTCTTCTTTTAGATGGTTCTTCTGGTCTCTCTGGATGCGGCATTTTGGTAAGATTGTCATTTTTTTCTTGAAACTTTTATTTTGACGAACATTTTCTAACTGTTCTCTTTTGCTTTTTAGACAGTTCTCCAACTCTTTGGACGCGGAACTTTGGTGGGAGTAATATTTTTTTGTTTTATTCCGTCTTTTATTCTGTCTTTTATTCTGTCTTTTAAAAACAGTTGCTAATTTATTTATTTTCTTTTTTTTAGCAGCTTAGAAACATATCTTAGTGAGAAATCGACTTTCAGTTAGACACATGAGATAGGTAAGTTTGGAAAAAAAGGAATTCGAAACTTTGAAAAAGGTTTTTTTTAATATTTTTCTTTTTTTTTTGTAGAGAAGTTAGTTCCAGCTTGGAAACCAAAATCCCAAGTAAGTTTCGAAAAAGGAATTCGAAACTTTAGAAATAAGATTTTTTTTAACCTTTTTTTTTTTAGGCATCAAATGCTTCTTTAGATGGATTTATACAGGATGTGAACTTTCGTATAGATTAAATATTGATACAAAATCGATTTAATATAGATTTAGATAGTTGATACAATGAAGCTGAGTTAAACTGTATTATTATTTAAATAAACAATATTTTTAATTATATAGTATTAAATAAATATAAATAAATTTGGTACATTTATTGGCAAATATTTGGCTTATAGATGGCTCAACTTCAGAATGGTTTTGTAAAGTATTTGGCATAAATATAGTTAATATTAGAATGAATTTGGAATTAATTCAGAACAAATTAATTCAAATTTCGTGCCAAACGGGCTCATCCTTATATATTGTATATTTTAATATATATTCGGTACAAATTTATACAAAAACTATTTACTGGGATATATCTTATTTTTTTTTTATTGACTTTTTTTAATAGTTTTTTTGTATATATGTTCCTGGTGTAATGATAATGCTGGCTGTGAGGGCTGTGATGATGATGACGATGCTTCTGGGTGATACTGCTCCTGATAATCGACAAATCCAAATTTATCTGCATGTTTTAATAATATATCATTTAATTTATTTTTAAAGGAGGAAAATAAATTTCTACTTTTCCTTTCCTTATTTTTCACATAAGAATAATTCTCAGATGTTGATAATCTATTGGATATATTATTAACTGATACATACACTTCATCAATATATTTATTATATTCATATAGGACTACTTTATGTAATTTGGAATTATGAGTAATGACTGCAAAAACGTAGGCGGTATGATATTTTCAACAAGATCAACAATATTTTTTGTTAGTTTATCAATGTCTTTGTGGAATTTTTTTGATTTATTATTGATGGTGGTAGTGGTGGTTGTGCTGTTGCTGCTAGTGGTGGTAGTAGTGGTGGCAGTGGTGGTACTGCTTGTACTGTTGCTGCTAGTGGTGGTTGTGGTGGTGGCTGTGGTGGTACTGCTTGTGCTGTTGCTGCTTGTGGTGATGTTATTTTTTAATTTTATTAATTTAGAATTAATTTCCTCCTCCAAATTCTGAACTTTGGAGCTAAATTCTTTTAATTTATTAAAGGTCTCAAAGTCAACAACATCATCAATCTGGAAATTGTAGCTAAAAACGTCCGGAAAATGTTTATTTGTCTGGAATATGTCCGGAATATTGCAATATTCCGGACGTTGGAAAATTTCCATTTTCCGGAAAATGTCCAGAAAATGTCTAGGAGGGTTCAGACCCAGCGTCCAGAAAGTGTCCGGAATATTGCAATTTTCTGGACGTTTTCCGGACACACGGACATTTTCCGGATGTTTTAGCTACAATTTCCGGACATTTTTTTTTACAGGGCTGATGAATCCTTATATAACTTAAAATCATCATCATTTAATTTTCTTGTATTCCCCTGGGTAAATAATGTCTCTCTCAATGTTCTAGAAATTGTAGGCTTTATATTATTAAGAAAAGAAATAATTAGTTACATTCAATTTAATTGTTTGATACTATTACATTAATCCATTTTTAAAAATATATTATGTTTTTGAATAATACTACTTGTCTATAAATAACTTGGACTTCAAAGTATTACTCTCCACACCGAGAAAATATAGGATACAAAGCTCCATGTATCTTCCCATAAATAGATTTTTAAAAATGATGTTAAAAACAATGAATTAAAAAATATAAATACTGTAAAAGTTTGTTCATTGCTGTTATCTCTAACAACAACTCTAGCAACTTGTGCACTTCTTGTTGTGCTTGGACTTACGAATTGTTGTGATCTAGATAAGCAGCTCATTATCATAAATTATAAAAATGTGATTAAAAAAAAAAGAAAAAAAAAAGAAAAATCAAGAGATCAGTGAAAGTATTTATATACAATATCGTATTAAATCAAACTAATTCATGTGATGATCTTGATAATTAAGAAATAACTAAGCCATACATATCTAAGCCTTATTTGCGATTAATGTAAGCCTTTAACTTGATTATTCATTATGGGGCTTAAAAAAAGTTGGGTATTGGAAAAACTCATAAAAGTATTGAGTATTGTGATCAAAGCCACAAATTTTACAATAGTAATAAAACTAATTCATGTGATGATCCAGATTTAATAAGCCATATATAAGCCTTATTTGTAATTAATGTAAGCCTTTAGCTTGACTATTTTAAGAATTTTCGTATGGCTTAAAAAAGTGAAATATACAGTATAATGATTGTGTAATTTAAGTAGTTTGTGTAAATTTCAGTTTGTTCAGATTTTTTTTAATACGAACTTTTTTAACTTTTTTGTAATTATACTACATAATTATGACACTGTACATGTAATTATTTGCTTAACAATTTCATTATTTATTTATTATACAAGTATTATTATAAAATAAGACAGTTTACTAAAAGAAAATATAAAAAAAGTAACATTTCTTAGTAAATGATATTTTTTAAACATATCAAAGATATGATGATATCATGATTAAGTTTGGAAGTAAATTTGCGATTTTTACGTTAATTTTGATTAAAAAATTAACGTAAAAAAAATTAAAAGCAAATTCTACCGTACATCGGATGATCAGAAACCAACATATAATCATAATATCAGTAAATACAATATATAAAATAAACTAGGATGCAAGAATTTATATTGGCAGTTGAACCATAGTCTCTAGAGTTAAACTATCAATAATGACCGCCTACACGGATCATTTCAGCTCCATAAAAATTTTTTAGAAAATTGATCATATGTCTGAGTTCTTCTAGTAGAGTAAAAAACTAGAAAAATAATTATATTTTTTATTGCTTAGTTCATAGTTTGAGAATGCTTTGATGTTAAATTTAAACGAATCAGGTAAAATAATTTATTTGAAGTAGTTTATTATTTTATTAATAATGAATGGTTTTCTTGTCTAATTTTATTCAATAAAATTAATCAGTTTTTTCGAAAATAGTCAGAGTATTATTTAATAAATTTAAGTTAGTATTTAAAAAATTTTATTAACTCAGGTTTAATATTATTCTTGTTCTTGAGATTCGAGACATTTAAAGATTTTTTTCTAGAAATATTCTGTCTGTTGCCCTATAAAAAAGGAATGTTTAGAATATATACGTAAAATATACAATATACATAAAATGTCTATAGAATGTCCATAAAATACTGTATATAAAAAATATACAAAATGGGCTCACTGTATATAAAATGTACAAAAAAGTATATGAGTCCCCTTTGCATATATCCTATGTATTCTATGGACATTCTATAGACATTTTATGTATAATGTACATTTTATGTTTATTTTATGTATGTTTTCTGAACATTCCTTTTTTATAGGGTTGAAACAAGTAATATTTTAATTTATGTAAACGCGGTAAGATAATATTATTTATTAATTAAAGCTTTAATTTGTCAACTGCAAACGATCTGCAGAAAATGGGAATCTGGCGTGGCGTCAAATAAAAGTAAAAAATTATGTGAAAAAATTATTGTAAAAAACAAATTATTTGAAACTTTGGAATAAATATTATGTATTAAAAAAATATGAAAAAATTACATAAATTTGCAGAAATGAATTTTTTACAGTTGACTCACAAATCACGAATTAAAATGTTTTTTAATATTGTTAAAAAAAAAAATGAATTAACTATCATACCATTAGTATATCATATGAATACTTAACAGTTAATGAATGTTAACGATCCCTATAAAAAAAGAAAATTCGGAATTTGTCCTGAAAAGTATGGAAAATGTCCGGAAACTTTCCGTGCGTCTGGAAAATATTCGGAAACGGTCATGTTTTGGAACATTTTCCGGACGCTCGATTAAAATTTCCGGACATTTTCCATACTTTTCAGGACAAATTCCGAATTTTCTCTTTTTATAGAGGCGATAATTACTTTTTAAAGAATATGAAATGAAATTGGAATTTTGACCGTTCTTTTATGTTGAATTCAGTTACTTAAGCTGATAGGCCTAATACATTAGCATCTTCACTTAAATATTTCAAATATTATAAATACAATGTAATTACAGAACAAAGAAAAATCATCATATCCCTTTAACTTATTCAAATTCACCATATACTACGGATTTCCTTTCAGTTATTATAGTTATAAAGAATAAGAGAGTGATAATTAACGATATTACACATAGTGAAAAGTGCTTTAGATCTATTCCGACAGAATATCTTCACGCGATTGTGACCCGAATATCATTAAAATTATAGAAAAGCCTGATTGCCGACGGAATCAGAAGGACAATAGTGTTTCTGACCTTATTACCTTAACTAAAAAATGATTAAGCTCGTTTCATATCATACGAAAAAATATTCCTAACCGAGATTAGATCGGTCCATCACATTTATTTGTCATCAATAACGCTGTTAAAATAGTGTGTCCTGCTACATTTAAAGCTTTTCGATTCTTTATACATCAATGAAATTGTTAATTACCGATTAGGAAATAAAGTTAAATTATTCATACCAAGAGAGGAGAATAATGAAAGTGGAAAAATGTATCATATATTTTCAGTTCATCACCGTGCTGTTTTTACATCACTATACAACCATGATTATTAACAGTACACTTTAATACGTTTCATTTGATAATTAGCGTCTATTTATTAAAATTTAATACTGTAACATACTACAAATTAACGAATAAATTTTTTATATATATAAAAAGTTATAATGAATAACACGTATAAGTTATACATAGTAATTATTGCTATACCCTATTATTTATATTATATCATAGAATAAAATAATAATACTTTTTTTTTTAAAAAAATATTTATATTGATATGTATATAATGTTAAAATATTTTTATAAAATATTCCCTATAGGATCACACTGGTTCTGTTTGACTGATAATTTCATATATTAGTTTAGAAGATAATCAAATATCAACTTGTATATAATCTGACTAATTTAATAGCAAGATAAAATAATAAAAAATCGACGTAACCGCTTATTGTGTTATATCAGTATGAGCCAATAATAATACATGTTGAATTGAGCCTGAGATAAACATTATTACTATTTTGGAGTGACTAATCCGACTGCTGCCCTCTATAAAAAATTTTCTGAAAAAAAACTCCGATGCACAAAAAAAAGTTAGCATCAAACGTGAAAACTGAAAAGTCACATTTAATCACGTGATTATTAATAATATGGACTAATTAAACTTGTACTACTGACGTTACTCAACAGAAAAATGGATCCCTATTCCCTACCAGGACATTATGGTAGAGTTCCCGTTCTGATTTCTTCATTTATATTTATACCTAATATTTTACTTACTGTTATTCATAGCTCAATATCGAGTTTCTTACGTTTTACTCCACCAGGCGGTCTTCTTACCTATGGACAAACCTCGCGAGGTGGCTATACTTCTGGTATTCCCACACAATCATGTACAGCTAATATGGCTCCTAGACCAGGTTATGGTATACCTTTGGATAGTATATCACCAATGGCAGCTCCAGGTTCAGAAATAGAAAGATTGCCAACTCTTTTCATTGGTGGGATATCATGGAAAAATTCTCAAGGTAGTGATCAATTATTTAATTTTTGGTGGGCAATGAATGCTACTTGTCAACAAATTGACGATGATTTCCAATCGAAGGGATGGAGATTTTACTGAACACTATATTATCAAATGAACCTTGGAGCTTTAAAAGAAGGCGTAAATATTTGGAGATGCGATCAAGAAAAAACTTTGTATAATTTTCTTACGACCTACAACGCATATTATTTTGGATGCTAAAATTTTTTTTCCCAGATAGCTTTCGAATTTATCTTAGTCTTGAAAGCTTTAACATGAACATCTTCCGATGTGATTTTGTCAAATACTTTAGCTGACAATTTATTTTTGTTTTTTTTTGATTTACTTATCTGGCGATTACAAAGACTTGTGGTACATTAAAATCTTGGAAACGAGTTAAAGACCAATACGAAATCCAAAGGGGTTTTGAATTTGCGGAATATGCTGTGTACTGCGTTCTTTGCGTGTACTTGGTGGTGAAGGTTCGGGTGATGATAAAAAAGATAAGGGAGTTGTTCCTCCTACTTTGGAGGAAGGTGTTAATGGAAATCTTTTGAATTGGAACAAAAAAATGATGATGCTGAGAAGAAATTTCATGAATTAGAAAATGGCAAAAAATTAATAGTAAGCAATCATTTCTTGGTAAATTACTTTTTGACCTAATTCTTCATCTAAATACCATTTTATCCACGCATATATATTATAGGTTAAAGCCGATGAAAATACAAGAAAATATCTTGGCTTCAAGGTCAAGAACGGTGGTCTATATTAAACTATAGAAATAATTTTTTTTTTTTAGCTATCATATTTGATGTAAATTATTGTCTTTCAGAATTACTATACAAAGTTAGATAAAAGTGCCTTGTTATCAGTTATAATCGTTGTTGAAGACATGATGACTACTAAGTCACAGGATAGAAGAGTTCTGTCACCTTCAATAAATTCGCAGCATGAAAATAAACTAGCTCTTCGAGCATCACCAGCTACAGAAATAAAAACAGAAGGATGATGACACAGATTTACCGGCTGATTTTCCTCTAGATCAAAAGGATCTTATTTATCGAGAAATAGAATACTTTCGAGAACGTGCTGCAGCAAGAGAACGAGAGCGTCAGAGAGAAGAGGAAGAACGAGCAAATCGTAGAGATAAAGCTGAAAAAGAAAGAAAACGTTCACATGGAAGGGTAATTAGAGAGTAAGAACGGGAGAGAGAAAGAGAGCGGGATCGCGATAAAGATCGAGATCGGCAATATGGACATTATCATCAACCAGTAAAATTTATTCCTGCAAGAGAATCAAGACGCGAAACTTATATTTAGACGATAAAGAAGAGGAACAACGCAGACAAGCTAAAAGAAAAACTGAAACGGAAATGGCTTTTAAATCGGTATATTAAATTATTTAAAATTTTGTTTTTGGATTATATATACTGATTTTATCTTATATTAGAGAAAGACGATGGCAACATCATAGAGAAGAAACAATAGCAACAAATCGTGAACGTGAAGCAGAACGAGATCTAGATGTCAGAGAAAAACAAATTCGAAATCGGGAAATAATGGCGATAACTGAAAGTTAGCGGAATGGGACGATGACATTGAAGCTGGTAGAGGTCAAGAAGAATATCACAAAGACAGAGGCATATATCACATTCATCTTGTATCAATTTAACGGAGAAATTATGAATTTTAACTTTTTTTATAATTTATGTAGATCTTGTTGCAGAGCACGTAAATTAGCTATCGTGGATGAAGCAGATAGGTTGCGTGAACAGCAAGAAATTGAGCTTGAACAACATCGATTACAGACGCTTAAGAAGAAAGAAAGCAGCGTGAAGATGCTATGGAAGTAGAATTAAATAATGAAAAAGAAATTTTAACGCTTGCCACAAATGGTACTTCACAAAATAATAGCGTTAAACCAAAACTAACTCTTAATCACGTCGCGCGGCATTAATGGCCTCAGCTGGAATTTGACGATGAAGAAGTGAAGGGATTGAATCAAAACGTAAACGTCGGATTTTAATTCCTTTAGAATATAGTGATAATGAGGACAATGAAAACAAAACCGAAGAAAGGAAAAAGAAAATTAGTTAAAGAATTAGTGGTAACTATACCAACGGTTTAGTCTTCAGAAAGTTAACCGTAATTAATAACTAATAATATGGTTTTGAGAGTTAATATTAAAGAATCTTTATCATGCTAAACGATAAAAATTAAAATTTGCGTGATTTATTAATTAATATACTTATGATAAGATCATAAAATTGTTCGTGAAAGCCTGAAAGGCTTTTAAAAATCAAGATTGTATGAAAATTTATTTGTTAAGATAAATTAATCTAAATAAATTAATAATTCAAGTCTCGATAAAAAAAGGCTCGAAAATAGTAACATTATTTGGTAATAATCCGATAAAATGCAATATATAAAATTAGTCACAATGATGTCACATTAACTAGACGACTTAGGTTGATATTTAATTTTTCAGTTGTCTGACAGGTCAATACAAGCATTGTCTTCCAAGAAGGATACATATTATACTTTCCAATACTGAAGATTTGGATCTACTGGATTTTATGATCATGATCCTTTTCGAATTGACACGCCACTTTAATTTATCTGTCACGGAGAAATAACGATTATGTACGTTCCTTATTCGGTTAAACGATGATATTGAGTATTATAGTATAGTTGACGAAAATCTATACAGTATAGTTTTTTCTATACAGTATAATTTTTTATTTATACAGTATAGTTTTTATCTAGTATACAAGTATAACTGAATACATCACATCCGATCAATACGTAACCTGGATATTTTTAAAATATTGTAACCCACACGCGATTACGTTCAAGTTAAAACTCTAAAGTCAGAATTTCAATTTCAAATTGGAATTTTTGATTTGAATGTACAATTTCCGAAATGTGATCATAACCCGAACCAAATTTAGAGACATATTTAGTGTTTGATTATCGTCTTGAACTTATGGCTTAAATTTACCAGAAGTATTGAAAATTGCAAATTAAATTCGGAGTTGGGCTACAACAGCATTTTAGTTTTGTAAAACTGAAGGAGACCCTTGTTTGATTCTTTATATAAAATTATATACGCATATCAGCAGATTAAAAATGGAAAGAGAAGAAAGGAAGAGGCATGTTGTACAAATTGAAATAAATGCAAAGTAGTATAACAATAGATTTTTCATAATCAAAAATTTTTATTTCTTTTAAAATAAATTCAATAAAACTCAGACTGGTTACATTATGTTATTTTCATGTGTGTAATAAATTTCATGTGTAAGATACTACTATTCAGTTATTGTTAGTACACAATATGACTCTTATTGTCCAAAAAGAAAAACATTNTAAAAATGGAAAGAGAAGAAAGGAAGAGGCATGTTGTACAAATTGAAATAAATGCAAAGTAGTATAACAATAGATTTTTCATAATCAAAAATTTTTTATTTCTTTTAAAATAAATTCAATAAAACTCCTGGTTACATTATGTTATTTTCATGTGTGTAATAAATTTCATGTGTAAGATACTACTATTCAGTTATTGTTAGTACACAAAAAGAAAAACATTTATTGGAGTCAAAGAAATTGAAGACAATAATCTTGTTCGTGTTCATCCAATAAATGATGCTCCAAAAAAAAAATTTTTTTGAGAAACGAAAAGAAAAAGAATACAATTCTTATGGTGCAGATGGCGCAGTCTAAAATATTTTATTAAATTAATAATACTTAAAAAATTAAAATATTTACAATCTATTTACTAAAATAATGTTGTTCATTATTCATATTCTATGAATTGACGCTCCATACTTCTGATTTAATGCTACTTCTAAAACCTGTAATAATAATAACTAGTAAAAGAGATTTTTGCAGTGTACAATTCCTATATATTTTTTTGGGAGGCAAGATCTTTTTCCTCTGCTTTAATTCGCAACATTCGACCTTATGGATCTTATGGAAGCGGCGGATAAATGTCGATTTTTATTATATTCTTTAATTTTATCTAGTCGATGATTCCATCTTATCAACGCATGATATGATCTTAAAATTAATTTATTTAATATAACTAATCCACCAGATGCAATTGCAAGAGATGGAATAAGATCATATGTTATCACACTATTGTAATATAACCCTTGGATAATGATTTGAGGTATATCTTCAATAAAGATGCTTATGATACTACCACAAAGCATTATTTTTCTTGATCTTTGAGTCAAAGGAATCGAAAATACTTTAAGGCCAAATAAATCCGATGATAAGGTGTTTAATATTTGTATATCAATGGCTGAAAATAATGTGCACATTGATGATATTACCGTAGATCCTTTAACCCAATTAGAAAATGATTTATTCGTTGCCATTTCAGATACAAAAATATTTATGGCAAATAAAATATTTATTACAATAGGTAAAATAAAGAATATCATACTAAATAATAATAAATAAGAAAATTAGTAATCAATTAAATTAATTAAATTAATCTTCAAAATAATATAAATAAAATAATATTAAATGAAATTTCTTACGTTGGAATTTTTAAATGTGGTGTATTTTTAACTTTTAATAATACAAATACTAGATCTACAGCAAAATCTTGTATTATAAAATAGGTCTCAAATATTACAGAGTTTTTGGCTTCAGGATTTTTTCGACGAGCCAAAATATATAATATTATTAATACAATTAAACCTACTGTAAATATTATAATCAACAAACGAAATTCTTCAAAATAATTTCCTGTAAAGTAATAGAATTAAAATTTAATAAAATATTAATCAAATACAAATGTCAAAAATATTTAATGAATACACTTACGGGTCATTATAAGAGGTGCACTTTCATCAATTAAAGATGTATATTCATTAGATGAAAGTGCAGTAAACCTTTTTTGTTTGATCAAGGTTCTTAAAATTTCAAATACTGTTTGGGAGTTTGGTTCAATTGCATGATCATCTTTAGCTTCCTTTATGTTAAATGACAATAATATTTTTTTTGGAGAAGTAGGGTCATATTGCCATCTACCACTTGTCGATAATCTCTGTTCAGCTACTGGAATTGTTTTAGAAAATTCTCGAATCATATTCTTGAAAAATACTGAATGATTCATTTGGAGAAATTTTAAACTTCCTTCCTCATTTAATCGAAGTAATCCAGTAACTGAATCTGAATATCGTACCGTTTTAAGTGGTTCTAAATATAGTAATGGAATATTAATTTTTCTATTTGATCATTAAAAAATATTAAAAAAAATGTGTATATTACCAGTTGAAAGCATCCAAATCTTATTACCAATTCCCATTAAAGGTTCATCTCTCTCTTGAGAGATAACAAAATTATTATCAACCAACACATAATAGGAGGAATTGGGTTGACTAAATGTACTTTCAAAAATCGGGATATGCACTGTGTAATTGTCACTTCCAACAGTACATAGTTTATAATCTCCCGAAAATGTTTGTCTTAATAGAGCTTGTTTACTTGGATCATCACTTTGTTGAAATATCGAAACATTCGCAGTTGATAACTTCACTGGAATGGTATATTTGATTATTATTTCTTTAATTGAAGGATCAACAACTTCATTAATAGCTGGATTTGTTGTTTCAATTACGGGACTATAATAATCAGTACCTACAGATAAAAAAAAATATTAAATAAATATAAATAAATAAATATATATATATACCCTATAAAAAATTTTTCAGTAAAATGATCATATATTTAAATTTCTTCAAAATAAAAACTAGAAAAATGATTATTTATCAGAGTTTTTTCCAGAAATTTTTTATAGGGTTGTAAAGAAAGAAAAGAAATTAAAATTAAAAGCTTACTACGATTATTCAATATTGGTAAAGATTTTAATAAAAATTCTAATTTATTGTTACTCTGATTCTTTATTCCAACAATAGTGTTATTTAGAGTAAACATATTAAAATGAAAGAACTCTGGCCCAAAATATCCCTGTGATTGCACATAATTGCCACTATTATCTAAAAGATAAAAATCCATTGCATCATAAATATTTTCCACAAGAAATCCTCCATAATATAAAATTTCCAAATCAATGTCTGTATTATTTGTTGGATTGGAAATTCTATTTAATTGTTCTAAGGCTCCAGTTGATAAAAATCTCAACTGATAATAATTTATCTCAGTCTGTGATTTATTCTTCTTAATATTTGTAATTGTATTATTTAATGTCATAATACATACATATCCTTCAGCATTATAAGTCACAGAGCATGATTTACTTGTTAAATTATTTAATTTTTGGGTAGTTTGATAAACAAGAGAAGGTATTGTGGGGGAATCTGCACTTTCCCTTAGGAATGATACATAAACTCTCCAGTATTGAAGATTTGGATCTATTACTGATGATTCTTTTGTTTCATCATATTTTAAAATATACATAAAACCAAAACCTCCATCTGTTAATAAAAAGTTTAAACTATCTACTAAGGTATAGGATAATAGATTTGGTGCATGAAATTCACCATTTTTACGTTCCACAACTTCTCCTGTTGTAATATCTCTAAAATAAGGTAAAAAAGTTAATCAACTAAACAACTAATAAAATATTTTCAAAAAAAAACTAATTGTTACTATTCATAAAAATACTTACGGAAGACTAAACAAACGCCATGTTGCTATTCCTTCTTTATTTGGTTTTTCAATACTAATGAGACCTTTATTTGGTACAAAGCTACGTTCAACAAATCCATTAGCATTTCCTAAATATATTTCACTAAAAAAAAATATTATTATTAAATCATTATTATTAATTTTCATTAATGAGGATTTCCATCATTTAAACTTACTTTATAGTAGACTCATTGCTGTAATTAATTATTATGCCATATTTTCCCTCAACACCATTGTTTAATTTAATATAAGTTATCATTATATAATTTTTAGTTAAGGGTAAAATATCCGCAGTAATGGGACAAACTGCTTCCACAGGAAGAGTGTAATTAAAATCCATATATTTTATTCTTCCTGTTTTATCCATTAATCGTAGATGTAGATAAGGCAACATGCATTCTGGTTTCTCATCTTCAAAGGCCATCCAAATCAGCAAAGAATTATCTAAAGTAAGGGTGAAGGTATTATAAAGTTGTAACCCATTAATTGGTTCTTTATAAATAAATGATATATCTTGGATTGATATACTATCTTGGAGGGATGTAGTTTGAGATGATGAAATGTTTTGAGAAGAAGATAGTACGTTTTGAGATAAAGCAAAAAAGCAACAGATGGATAATAAACAGACAAAGGTGATCAACATCTTTGAATTGAACATTTTTACTAAGAGACTTGAAAAATGATAATGATAATTGATAAATTTTTTACTTGGAAGATAGACTTGAAAAATGATAATGATAATTGATAAATTTTTTACTTGGGAGATTACAGCAGAATAACAGGACATTTATATATGTTTCTCATCATTATAATCTTGATTTATTTATTAACTATTAATAACTTTTCTTTTTATCAAACATGTTTCAAAAAAAAAATTATAATCAAATGTGTTTCAAAAAAAAAAATTCAAAGCATTTTTATTATTATACTACCAAATTTGTATTTCAAAAACTGATCTGCATTACTTTATTATGTGTAAAAAAATGTGGTGATCAATGTAACATACACGGTCTTTGTTTTTTACTAAAGCTTTCATTAGAATAATATGTCAATTTTTAACTATAAAAACTGTGAAAGCATGTTATAGAAATTTGAACTATTCTATTAATAGATGTTAATTTAATGGAAAAATTAATTGTTTACATTTGAAAGTAATAATTTGGAACCTAGTATTTGGTATGCACATGTGTTTGGTATCAACTTTAGAAGCAATTAAAGCATAACTGGAATCATTGAACTTAAACATATAGTAAATTATGCACACAAGTAATATTCTAAAAATAGAATAAAATATTAAATTTTTTAAATTTAATAAAATTTATCATGATTTTAATGATAAAATTATGATATCACTGCTGGCAGAAAATTTTGACATTTTGGTGTATTATTCTATGATCATTGGGTGCAAAATGCCAAAATGGTGCAATAAACAACCCAATTTGCTGACATTTTGACATATTATTTGTACCAGGAGATATGAAACCATTACCATTTGTAAGACAACTCTGATGAAGCAGAACAGTATTCATAAAGTTTATGTCTTAATTTAGCGTAAACAATGATAGGTAACACAGCATAAAAAATGGACAATTTTTAACTTTTTAACATGAGACATTCCTATTGTTTAATTGTCATCATGATCACCGGTTAAACCGATCTATTTTAAGATAACAATCCGTACTATGGTAAGTTGGAGCATGCTACACGTTACAATACACTTAACTTATATAGGGTAATATAAATAATATAATAATTTACTTATTCCGTGTTTTTATTCCATTGTTATTTCCGTAAATGTATCATATTCACGGAGTTTATAGCCTCAAACATGAAAATTATCCAAGTTATTTAAATTATTTTCTCACAAATGTATCATATTCACGGAGTTTTTCAGAAATTACATTTTATTAGGTTAGTTTAATTAGTATTTCTATTTAACTTATAATTATGAATAATAGTTACTAATTATTCTATTACTATTAAAAATTAAAGTAATTATATTTTATTCCTATTACCATATTATTACTGTCCAAAAGAATTTAATAACCAGTATTTAAAAAATTTATAAAATATTTAAATAGTATATATACTTAAGTTTAGTCGTGCGATCAAATTAGCAATATCTATAATTACTGCGGTTATCGAACACTACTGTAGTAGTACCTTACCATACTTTTTATAAAAACATAACGAATGATAAGTGTTTTTTGACTTTATATTCAAACAAATTTTTCGAGTATGACGTCTTAGCACGTGCTTTGCATTCATATTTCATATGAGAAAGATATCGGCAAAATGCATAACCACGCCAAAGTAATAATGAAGTTAAGTTTATTCACAGTAAAAGTAACTTATCGATAATTTATTAAAATTCTCTCAATTATCTAAACATAACAACGAATTCTAATTAAAATATAAAGTGAATTTTGACCTGATTACTAGTATAGTTAATGTAAATATTTGGGTTTATTAGTACGATATTGATGATAACTGAAGCTTGTAAAGTAATTATTGTTCTTCAGATTTTTTGCATTATATCTTTATATAATTTACTAGGGGATATTAAAAGATGATACTGAACAATGATTCCCTATAAAAAATGTTTGTTTGATAAATATTCGGAATGAGGTCAATTTTCTGCTATTATACAATATTTGTTACAATTTAATACAAGATGCGGAGATTGAGAATTTTTAACCACATAAAAACATACAATATCATGATGAATGTCCAATAAATGTCAAATAAATGTTCGGAATGGGGTCGATTTTCCGAACAAAAAACCGAACAGTGTTTGGACAATATTTTTTATAGGGATAACATTAAAATGATAGGATTAAAAAAAAAAAAAATAGATCTCTTAAGTAATTATTTTATCAATTTGCTATTGATAAAAAGAATTATGAAGTTTTATTATATTTAATTTTTAATTTTTGAATATCACATTTTAATGAAAAGAATCTGATAGACAATATATATAAATTAAAAAACTCTGGCTACGTGTTATATGCCATTGCCTCAAATTACTTCGAATTATCTAGCCCATTCTAGAAACCTTTCAAAAGCTGTATCTTCATTTTATATTTTTCTTACTTTCCGTTTCAAAAATTAACATAAATAGCTCGGATTCCTCATCTAAAGTCTGTATCATATAAATCAAAGGATATAAAAAATCAATGATTTAGCTTGTTAATTACTCTTTGATATTTAGTGCAAACAGTAATCAACATACAATCATCATTCTTTAGTTAAGTCTTCAGCTGGCTTTTTATTACGTAAATGATCAATAACAAACTAATTCATCTTCTTGTACGCTGAGATATTCAACAATTCTTTTACTTACAAATGGCTGTAACTTTTTGCTAAGAATATTCTGTTGTGAAATTTTAATTATTATTTATGTTAATAAAAACAAAGATTTTTTTAAAAAAAGGAAGAAAATTATGAACCACATATGAAACTTACCTCACCTAATTCCTCCAAAGTCCTCCTTTATCCGTTGGTATAGTTGCCACTAATTCTTTAACTAATTTTCTTTTTCCTTTCTTCGGTTTTGTTTTCATCGTCCTCATTATCACTATATTTCAAAGGAACTAAAATTCGACGTTTACGTTTTGACTTAATACCTCCTTCATCATCAAATTCCTCATCTTCAGCTAGGGCCACTAATGCCGCGCGACGTTTTGATGCAAGATTAAGAGTTAGTTTTGGTTTAACGCTATTAAATTTGTGAAGCACACTGTGGCAAGCGTTCAAATTTCCTTTTCATTGTTTAATTCTGCTTCCATAGCTTCTTCACGCTGCTTTCTTTATTCCTCGAGTGTCTGTAATCGATGTTGCTCAAGCTCAATTTCTTGCTGTTCTCGCAACCTATCTGCCTCATATATAGTCAATTCACGTGCTCTGAACTGTTGTCGATGGAATCACCAACGAGATTTACATAAATTATAAAAAAAGTTAAAATTCATAATTTCTCCGTTAAATTGATTACAAGATGAATGTGATATATACCTACCTGTCTTTGTAATATTCTTCTTGACCGCTATCAGCTTCAATGTCATCGCCCCATTCCACTAACTTCCTCGCCATTATTTCTCGATCTCGAATTTGTTTTTCTCTAACATCTAGATCTCGTTCTGCTTCACGTTCACGATTTGTTGCCGTTGTTTCTTCTCTATGTTGCCATCATCTTTCTCTCTAATATAAGATAATTAGGGATCACCCAAAAATCCTGACGCTTATAATATCGACAGTCTATAATCCCGACACCAAAATCCCGATAAATGCAAATCCCGATTGAATCAAAATCCTAACAGTCAAGAATCCCGATAATCTAAAATCTTGACAGCCAAAATCCTGGCTGAGATTCGATCAGTAAAATTTGAGATTAGTTAATTTTTTTGATGCAATTGTTTCTAATTTTAGAAGATAAAGAATAGTTTCAGTTAGTAATCTAATAATATACTGTACATAATCCTTTTAACTAAGATAAAAATTTTTTTCTTTTGATTTCATTAATAATATAGTAACGTTAGTTAATTTGCATTAATATTAATAAAATTTGCAAACAATTTACCCGTTACTGCACCATTACATTTTTAAAATCATTATATTTTAAAAAAAACTTTTGGATTTTGATTGTCAAGATTTTTAACTGTCGGAATTTGTGACTATCAGGATTTGGATTTGGGTTTGTCGGGATCTTGGTATCGGGATTGTAGACCGTCGATTTTATGGTTGTCGGGATTTTGTGGTAATCCCGATAATTATTATTAAAATCATCAGTATATATAATCCAAAAATAAAATTTTAAATAATTTAATATACCTCTATAAAAGCCATTTCCATTTCAGTTTTTCTTTTAGCTTGTCTGCGTTGTTCCTATTCTTTATCGTCTAAAATATAAGATTCGCATCATGATTCACTTGCAGGAACAAAATTTACCAGTTGATGATAATGTCCATATTGCCGATCTCGATCTCTCTCTCTATTTTCCTTTCCATGTGAACGTTCTCTTTCTTTTTCAGCTTTAGCTCTACGATTTGCTCGTTCTCCCTATTCTCTCTGACGCTCTCGTTCTCTTGCTGCAGCACGTTCTCGAAAGAATGCTATTTCTCAATAAATAATGAAGATCCTTTTGATCTAGAGAAAGATCAGCCGGTAAATCTGTGTCATCATCCCTTTATCCATGTTCTGTTTTTATTTCTGTAGCTGGTGATTTTCAATGAGCTAGTTTATTTTCATGCTGCGAATTTACAGATCTTTTCTATCCTGTGGCTTAGTCATGTCTTCAACAAGGCACTTTTATCTAACTTTGTATAGTAATTCTGAAAGACAATAATTTACATCAAATATGATAGCTAAAAAAAAAAAAAAAAA